ATGATGATGATGATGATGATGATGATGATGATGATGATGATGATGATGATGATAACGATGACGATGATTTTGTCAGGTTCGGAGGCATTTGGGCAAAGAACTATTATTAAGATAAAATAAGAAATATGATAAGATAAGATAAGGTAAGATAAGATAAGAGAAGAAAAAGATAAGATACGATAAGATAAGAAATGATACCCTATTGTCCAGTGGAATTTTTTGGGGGGTCTGTGGCTGTACAAGAATTGTATAAACAACTTTAAGATTTGAAAGATATAATTATTACATTCACAAAGATATAGTTAATATGAAGAGAAAAATAAAGCTGTCAGTAATACGACATAATATCATCACATCAGGTGGTACTTTGAAACCTCAACAACTGCCCCTCCCTCCCCCCTCAAGCTTTCAGATTCGTTTGTTTGTTGGGGTTTTTTTTTTGCCTTCTTTTTTCTCTCTTTTGAAGGTGTCTAGTCAGGTGTTTTGCTAACTTTAACTTGAAGGCCACAAAAAAACAACAAAAAACCCGCTATATTATCGCGGCGGCACGGATATTTAAAGTTCTACATAACAGAATGAAAGGAAGAAGGAAAGAAAGAAAGAAAGAAGAAAAAAAGAAAGAAAGAAAGAGAAAGAAAGAAGTAAAGAAATCGATACCATTATACCTTCATCTTCGGGTGTTGCTAAACTTTCTTAGAACATTCAAGGTCAAACCTGATAATAAGTCGTTGTTGTTTTTAAGTTGAAGAGAGAAGGACCACTTATACTTTCTCTCAGTCAGCCTGGGTGGTTGGTGGGTGCTCTAGTGTGGTTTGCTCCTTTCTTTCCTATCAAACATGTATCCTCGTTTCTGAATTAATTATTAATATCCCTCTTTTCTGCACATATGGAAGGCCTGCTCTCCAGTAATAACTCTAATCTTCGGCACGTATGACCTGTTGGCGTTGCAAGTGCCGTAATACATACTAAACTAAAACTGAATAAACTTTTAGTCATCCTGATAAATTGAAGGGGGCGGAAAGGACGGTTATGAGTTTATGGTTGGTGACGAATTATTGTCGTGAGGTCCATCCCAATAGGTTGGAGTTTCGCTAATTTCGTACTCGGAGGTGAACTTTCCTGACTTGTCTTCAGGTGTCTATCTTCTTGGTTTTCGTTCTTGTTTATTTTGTTGGTTCTTTTTTTTTTCTTTTGTGAGGAAGGTTTACCTCTGAATTAATTAATTAATCTTTTATAACTTTATCATCTTGACAGAAAGAAACTATCTAGAGCATAGTGCATATACAGTTTTTCTAGGTTTGGAGGGGGTGGGGGGAGAGTTTTGTCAGGCTATTCAATAAATCCTGCCTGTTGAACAATTCTGGAGATCAACGCATCATATAACACCCCCACCCCCTTAATAATATTACAGTGTCTGTCCATGATTTGTCTCAGAAAAATAACAGCACACCATATACGTTTCAACCAGGCTATAAATCCTGTTGAACGACCTCCAAGCGGACCAAAGATCGTGTATACACGGTCTTTGGGATAACATGTCTCAGGTTCTATAAATAACCTGTTAGAGCTAGAATCAGACGAATGGCCAGATTCAGAGTCCTTTGGCCCTGACTCACGCTGTATAGTCGGCGTCAGAAAATGGAGCACTTGAATAGTCGTTAATCAATTAACCGGTCGTTCATGAAAGTATACCACTAATGTACACTAATGTATTCAATTTATCTAATAACCATATATCATACTTTGATGTTATAGTTTAATAACTTTTTATTATGTGAGATGAGTTCACAACAGTTTAAAAAAAATATTTATAAAATTTATAAACGTCTAAAAGGTACAGGCATATTATAACTTGCTCGTTAGCAGTGTATCTCGTTGTGACGTCCTTTCTTTTCATCGAGGCCGCCACTCGTTGCTCTCTATGAAGCTTTACTGCGAAGTGCGCGTACTATGGTTATTAGGCCTAAGTATGATGGGTTGCACTAGGCTATCAGCCCAAAATAAAGAAAGGGCAAAACACCCGTCTCGCTGCCGGGTCAATGCGGCACGCCCCCTCGCTGAAATATTTTAGACTACAGATCTAGGATATTCTAGGCTAGTACAAATCTACACCCTCACATAAGTGTAGTTTTCCCCCCCCCCCCCCACAAAAAAAAAATCTCTGGCGTGCCAAACCCAGCAAAAAAAACCTTTGCAAAACGCAGCCAAAGATGCAGCGTCTAAAAATAGCCTTCGAAAAACCCGAAGGTGATAAATATGCCGAGTAAGCAAATAAAACTTGCTTTACTTTCTGGTATACTAGATTTAATAACATTGCAAATATTGACAAACAGCTCAAGTCTGTCATAATTCTTATCTTAGAAACTTCAATATTATATTGATCTGTTTGTATTTATAACCAGATCTAGATACACTTATCTTTAGTACTAATACAAAACTATATTGATTCACTTAACCGCTTCTGATATCAGCTCTTGTAGACTACCTGGTATATTTGGAACTTGGCGACCTGTGACCAGGAAACGCTGCTTCAAGGCAGAGGTCCGATCATTTTTCAATCTTAGTCTATACTTAGTAACTTGCGAACCTAACAGCGAGATGATAGCACAAGAGATAATGTGTTGGAACGATCGACGTACGTATTGTGTGTTTGAGCTGAAACAATTACAAAGACCAGCAAGACGTTTATACGCTTGAGCTCACTTGTCGAGTTCGAACTCTAAAATTAAATATAGGCCTAACTAAAATCGTTTTGGTTAGGACGGATGAAGCTGCGTTGGTAATATAGATCTGTAGATCTAATATACACTGGGTTTGCACTGCTAACTCTGCCTACTGCGTGTTGTGTACTTTCTAGATCTAGATTCTAGATTTAAATCTTGTTTGTAACTTTTAACAAATTTACCTTCTGAATCGAATCCTTATTACACCCTTCCATTAAATTACTAACTGAATCCAGCAAATGTGAATATACAGTTCCTTCAAAGTTGAAAGCCTATAAAGAATTTGGCAAAGTGAAGTGAAGGAACTCTTCGAGTTTTGCTTGCCAAAGACACCGGTAAGTTTACTTTGCATATTTGTGTAGGATTAAAAATTTTAATGCAAATTTGTCATGGCATATGGCAGCTACAATTTTCAACCACCAATTTTATTAATAAAATTATTAACTGTATTGGTGTATTGTAACTATTACTGATAGAAATGTCTCTCCTTTTAAGGAGCATATAGAGATCAGGGTTGGGAAGTCAAGATCAGAAGGGGGGAGTTTTTTAGTACTTGGACAATCTACTTCCTCTTGTCTACCACCTAGTGCAGGCAAACCTGTATCAAGCTCTCGTTCTATCTCATGGTCTAGAGGTTACAGTGCTCCCCTCCCATTCAGTAGGTCCGGAATTCGAATTCTGTAGCGCCGGAAAATTTTCTTGTCTAAAATGATCTCCTTTCACCTCTTTATTTCCTGCTCTGCTAACCATACTCTGTCATCTGCTTTCGTCTCCACATTCTGCCGCCCCCTCCCCCCTTTGTTCCCTCCCTGGGCTCCTGACTCTTTTTACAACTTTTCTACTGCTATTACTTGGCTCCTTCTTACTGCTGTCTTTCAGCCACACCCCTGATCTTATGGTAGGTTAAAGATCTAACATCTCCTTCTCGGATACGGGGGAAAAATCTCTGAGGTCTCGTGTGCAAGTTGCGCATGCTAAAGATCCCTTGGTGGCCCAATATCGATAAGAGTAGGCTTCAGCCGCCATGTGGACAAGATTCAAAATTACCTCCTACCAAACGGAAAATGTGCAATATGTCCCGCGGTTGCGAGGGCCTTATATAATTGAACACTTTACCAAAACAAAACAAAACCTGTACATGCATATATTGCTTTATCTCTTTAACCCAGAAATTATTTTCCACACTTTGACAGAATATTCTCCAGATCTCATGAATCATGAAACGGGGCGGGGATAGACACGAAATAATATCTATAAAATGGCTAAAACTGTGTCAGTGTCAAAGTGAAAGAGGTAAGAGTTTACATTTATCTAACACTTCTGAATCAAGATGAATCTATTCGGATTCATAATTAGATTGTATTAGTAGTAATACTTCATGCACTTTGCGATCTAACTGTGCCTTCGGACCATCCACTCAGGAACCGGGCAAGATTCACTGGACACTCCCACCATCCACTCGGGGTTATAGAGTTAAGATTGTCTGTCAAGAAACAAAAGGCCATCACTTAAAGAGAAAGGATTTGAGATGCATCATATGTATATGTCAAATGATGATAACTGGCTATTTAATAGACCTGCTGGGGGCTACTTTCTTTCTGCACGGAGGCTGCATAGGCTATATTATTATTATATACATGTTGGCTGTCAGTATCCAAATAACTAGCATGTGACAATAGCGCCTGTCAGCAATCGTGTGGGGATGGGAACATTATAGCTTCTTACAAAACCTTTTTGATTATTAGATCAAAGGGATGCTCAGCTCTGGTAACTTGAAAGCTGAATCTTGGACGTGTGCTAAGTGATTAACCATCCATCATTCGAGATCATGCGTGTTGCTGGCGCAGTTTTATCGAACGCTTCGAGCTGCAATTGCAGGGGTGGTTTTCTTTTGGGTTGGACGAAGAATTGAGATGGTTCAGATTATGGGAAGAACAAAAATGGGTTTTAACAAAGAGAAAAGGGTGGAAATATAATTGTCAAGTTCTATGCATACTGAGCTAAAAGCTAAAAATCTTTTTAAGAACCCACCATGTTAGTCAAAATGAAATTTAGCTTTTTTCTTATCATAAAATAAAAGCCAGTCTCAAAAAGTTATTGACGCCATCAATATTTAAGCATAGTTCCCTTCCAGCCTTTGTACCCAACTAACAATATATGTTCTAACGTTGATTGATAATCCTTTGACTTCACAAGCTTTTGTCCCTTCAGTTTTTAATGGGATTTTTCCTTTTTTTTGTTGTTGTTGTTTTTTTAGATCGAAATTGACATAATATTATTTTAACTGTGTCAATGTGCTTTCAAGCACACATTGAACTGATCTACAGTACGGTAAAATCATGGCACAAAATAACAGATGCAAAAAAAACTGATGTCTGTTATTTAATGAGACTCATTTCCATTGTGCACAACATAACATACGTGTGTATGTTAAAAAACGGATGCTGTTGTAGGAACTTCAGGTTTTATTTTCTGAGGACAAAAACTTGTAAATTATGTATTAACTGTGAATTGACAGTGGACACCACAGTCATAGACTTGATAGGTCTTTTATCTTTGTATTCGTCTTTCCAACTGAACGGAATTTCAAGCAGAGAGAACGCCATTCTGTTAAAACCTCTTTCTACTTAAATGATCCGTAAAAAAAAATCTACCACCTTGATGATTGTTCAGATGGTAAGATGACGACTGTAAAAATAACCTGAAAGCTCCGAAACATTTAATTTGCTTTGTGTGTGTTTCCTTTGCATTTGAAAGAGCTCTTTGGAATAAGTCTTTTCGATCCTTGTGGTTTGAGTATGAATGGATTTGGAATGTTAGAATTTTGTTCTAGGCCATTGCTGTTTGTTCATGTTTTGTCGTCCTGTGTTACCCAGCCCTTTCTTCTATCGGCGAGTAAAACTGAGGTGAAGTGACTTTTCTTTATTCTTTTATGTTTTGTAATTATTGAATAAATGCATTTTGTTTTTATTTCTTTCAAAGTACTTTAACCTAGACAAATTATTTTGGAATATCTGTTTCTTCTATTCTTTTATTATTTATTTTGTGTCTTTTTCCTCTTCTTCATTCTCAAATTTTGTTAGATTTTGAAAAAGGTTTTCATACACAATGTCCAATGAATTTCTTGAAATTTTCTTTCTACAATGTTTTCATTCAGAGCATAATCACTTTTTGTGCACTTCATTTGCTTGTTTTTTTCTTTTTCAGGTCTACTGAGTTCTGAATGAAGTGGGACAAGATGATTTTTGAAGGAATAATTATTGCTCTGGACCTGGGTTATACTGTTGGGTTCAAGAAAAAGTCGGAGTTGCGGAAAAAGATTGTTGAGAATGGAGGAACGATCAGCTACATTGTGACAAGAAAGGTATTGAACATGGTTCTGTTTTAGCATCTTGTCTAAATAATTGTAGGGAACACTGACTGTGCCTCAAGGTGTAAAAAAAGCATTCTCTCTAATCATTTATTTTGTTTCTCGGATAGTTAGCAAACAGGATTGATGGTTGATTCTGAATGACTCCATAATTAAAGGGTAAGGTTAATTCCTAGAAATTTCCACTGAAATTATGTGTTTGTGCGGAGAATTATGTACGGCCCTTCGCTCTTTAGGAAGTGAATTTCTGCAGAGTTTCTACATATTTGGGTATGGGGTTTATTGCAAGTGTTGTTTGAGAAAGCAGCCCATAATCCTGCCCCATCCACTTTCACCATGATGTCCGTAATGCTTGTAGTGTGTTCATAAGACCTCTGATTTATTTCATGTTTTTCATTTTTCGGAGAAGACTTCCAAGGTGCTCAGTTCCCCTCCCCCCCCCCCACTTATTTATTCTCCTGCCATGCCTTCTTTAACTCTTTTAGCCCTCCACGGTGACGAGTAAAACTGCCCGTATGCCTAGCCGCCAGTACAGCGGTGAGCAAGACTCGGTCCCCAAACTGGCCCGCCTGGAACAGAATGGCCACGGGAAACCGTGTTTATTACACAGAACGTTACTGATTAATTTGAAGATCTTTCTGAATTAGATTGTAATGACAAGGACTACCCTGAGCGGGACTTGGAATGTGATTCTGACGATCATATGTATGTTAGTGTAATATATAGCGCTCTGGAGCTCAGGCAGAGGGGAATGATAGCATCAGGAGGTCATGGCTCAAAGGGTTAACCCTATCCATACGTCGTGTTTTACTATTGTATCCATATGACGTGGGGAACTCTGTGCCACCACTTTTCAAAGAGGAAATTTTACTCGTTAAATGATCCGTACGCTTTGCAAAGTAGTTTGTCAAAATGATTTTTTGAGAAATACTGAAAGTTTCAAAGAGATCTTCGTACTAGAAGTGTTCTAAAATGTGAAGAATACAACCCCGGGGGTACAAAATGACCCCAGGGCATACGGATAGGGTTAAGAGGAATCGGAACCAGGTACTTTGGCATGAGAGACAAGCGCATTTCCTCGCAGTTAAAGAGCCATGTACGAGCTTCTACTGTGACAAAACATCATATTATAAGACCCTTGCCAATCTGTAGCAAGCGGATGGTTGGCTGGTGCTCTGGTGTGGTTTGCTCCTTCTTTCCTGTCAAACATCTTTTATCCTTGTCTCTCCTTCTTTTTTGTGTTTGTTACTCTCTTGTAGCACTTCTAATCTTCGGCACTTATATGACCTTATTGTGTTGCAAGTGCCTAAAACTCTTACTTAAAAAGAAAAAAAATCTGTAGCATAATCGTATCTCGTTCTCGCTCCTTCCAGTGCAGCTTTGTTGTGACCAGTGACCCGGAGAAAGTGGACGTGTCGTCAAAATGTCGCATGGCCGTCAAGTACGGCTTACCCGTGCTCAGCCTGGACTACGTGTGGGACTGCCTTCGGGCCGGGGCCCTCTATGACACAAGCAGCTACGTCGTCGGGGGGAAGAGCAGCGTGCTGGACTTCAAGGCAGGAAAAATCTCAGGTGAGGTAACAAAAAAGTAGCTCTGAAGTTTCTATCTTTGTTGAATTAATACATTCTTTAAGAACAGTTATTGCACAGCATTAGTGCGTGTAGGGGATACATCGGGTTTCCGTGGGACCAATAGAATTACTCAAGTAATCTTTTAGAGCTTTAATAATTTTATGTTAGTTCTGCTAAGATTTTGCATACTAACTATTAAATTGTGTGGTGGCAAGGGTAGTCAACCATTTTTAATGAAAATGTCCGTTCTAACAATTATAGGTTCTTAAAGATGTACTCTTTCATAAAAGCAAAAACCATTTCTTTTATCCCTGACAAATTCAAAACTAGGGAAAAGCATTGAAAAAAAGACTGTATTATTTCTACAATATGTCAAAGTATAATTGTGTGAAAAGAGGGAGGGAGCACTGTAGCTTCTTACTTAATGAGGCCTCAGTAATTTAAAGTTATTAAAAAGACAATTAATGAAGAAAGTTGATGAGCAAACATTATTGATTGGGAAAAGTGTGGTTTGGTTTTATGGGGAAAAGTGTGGTTTGGTTTTATGATGGCAGGATCTGACGTACTTGATGTGAACGTTTGAAAGAGCAAATAAAGTACATACGACTTTCCTAAAAGTTAAAAAAAATTAGGGTAAGAAATGAATTCAGAATGATGAAAGTGTCCTAATAGTTAAATTTAAGTTATGACACTATTTTATCCATTTTAAGAAGACATTGAATTAGTATATCTATTTACGTTTTAGAGACAGGTTCATGGTTGGAACAAATATAGAAGATAACAGAAGTGCAGTAAAATATGGGAAACAAAATGTCTAATCATCAGTTTAGAAGTGCATGATAAGAAATGTAAAAATAGAAGATTATTCTGTCTTTGAACACATGGGTTGGTGAACTTTTAATAGATTAGGGATTCCCATCTGTTAGAGGCCAATTGTCTGATAGACTAACGTACAGTTGACATGACAAAGAAATGACTAAGCGGTTGTAATCTCTCTTATCTCTGAAAATACAATCACATCAGTGACATGAATGGGGAGAAAAGTAGACAGAAAAAAGAAGCAACAGCTTTGTAATTGCGCAAGATGAATGTGGACTAGTTTTTGTTGGGGTACAACAGGGGAATATTTATGGTGAACTATATGTTTTTTTAAAAATTTCAAGTTATCAACTCTGTTCTCAATTAAAAAGTTGCATGAAAGTATTTATATTCCTAATGGTCCCTGCAAATGGTTTAATTGCATACCCAATGCAGTTAGTAATATATATTTTTTTAATGCAGTTTTTTTGTTTTGCTATGCCCAAAGTTGATTGATCTTTCATTGCTTGGTTATTTTTTGTAGCTCTCAAGAATAAAGAAGAGAAGAAAAAGGTTTCCAGTCGAACGAGTTTCAACCCCAGAACGACAAGGATCTGGCATGATTCAGATTCTGACACGCCTGAGTTTGACGAAAACGCTTTTGAAATTGCCAAATATGCCTTCTTCAGCGTAAGTAATGTTGTTTAACACTTTTGCTTTGATAGGTAATTATTAATGCCATGTGGTAAGGGCCGAGCGGCACAATTCAAACTCCTACATAATGTTATCCTGCTGGTGGGTCTTGACAGAATCTATAAGAAAAAGACAAGAAAATAAAACAGATAAATAAAGTGGACACTTCGTTTTCTGTAGAGTAGTTAAAAAAAATAATTATAACCTATTATAAATTTTCTTCACAAAAAATCTAATGCGTGCACCCTTCCAATTTCTTCATCGAGTGGGTGGTTGGCGGGTGCTCTGGTGTGGTTTGCTCCTTCTTTCCTATCAAACATCTATCGTCCTTATCTCCCCTCCTTCTTTTTTGTGTTTGCTACTCTCTTGTAACACCTCTAATCTTCGGCACTTATATTACCTTATTGTGTTGCAAGTGCCGTCAAACATTTACTAAACTAAATTATTTTGTGGGACTATTTTTGTGTTTACTTACCATAGAGTGCAATTTAAAAAGTATAGCCAAACCCATAATAATATTCCATAAGCCAACCCATAATAATATACCATAAACCAACCCATAGAAATATACCATAAAACAACCCATAAAAATATACCATCATCCCATAATAAAATACCATAAACCAACCCATAATAATATACCGTAAACCAAATCATAATAATATACCATAAACCGACCCATAATTCATTAATTCATCCAGTGCCAGATCTGCGACAGACATCGGCGATCATGGTTTTCCATTCATTTCTTTGCTCGGATGCTCTAAAAAAAGTTACGTTTCCCTGATCTTTCCCTTTTACCCATAATAATATACCCTAAACCAACCCATAATGATATACCATAAACCAACCCATAATGATATACCATAAACCAACCCATAATAACGTACCATAAACCAAACCATCGTCCCTCAGGGGTTCAACAAACAGCTCAAGTGCGAACAGCTCCAGGTGGTGGAGTTACAGGCTGTCCCAAGGTCGCGGGGCACGGACTCGAACCTCATGGAGGTCAGCGGCAAGGAAGACGTGCTCAAGTTCAGGGTCGTGCTTCAGACAGGGAGCTGGGCTGACCTGAAGGTGAGTGTCGAGTTGGAAGCTTGTGACTGAAATGTTGAGAATGTCTCTACTTTAGCGCTAGCTAGAAATGGCAGCTTGCACTGTATGCTTCCCAGGAAGTTGAAATTGTTGCAGAACGCTATCAGGTCTGCAGGGATAATAAAATACACTGTAAAGCACATAGTGCTTGTTGAGGGGGAATTTGGTCTATACAGATGTCATCTATTATTATTAGTAGTAGTAGTAGTAGTAGTAGTAGTAGTAGTAGTAGTAGTAGTAGTAGTAGGAAATGAATACATAAGTGAATTGTAGATGTGTTTATAAATCAATGAAGAAATGGAATTTGAACAAACAAATGGACACTAAATTAATTTAAGAACAAATGACAATGATCATTTTCTTCATGGCTGTGGCATTCATGACTTCCTACAACCGGAACTAGAAATGTTATTATAGTTGCTTCAAATATTATTACAAATTGAATTACACCAAACTTTATAAAGTATTTTTTGTCACAGTTGCCTATATGTAGTGTTTTCCTTCAACTTCCTGAAACATTCACTGTTCTTTATTCTTCAATGCTATGAATGTTTTATCCTCTTTTTGTACGAACATACAATTCTATGACGATATACTAGTGATCAAAAGAAAGATACCACTTTTTGATTTCGTAACAAAATGAGTGTTTTGAGCTTTTCTTTTCATTTGAGTAATACTCTTTAAAAGTAGGTTATGTTATAAAAATAGCAGTTTGAAGGTTCAGTTATAGTGTTCACAGCACCAATGTTAAAACCCCCAGAAAATAGGCATTTTTTCCCGACCCCGTGGATTTTTTCTTTCATTCTTTGTTCTTTTTTTTATTACCAAATTTAGGTCTGTGTTTTCCAAAAGCCACAAAAACATTTGATAATTAGGCTATCATCTAAGAAAGGTGGTAGATTTAACTCGGCATCAGAGAACTCAGTCCATCGGCATACTCCACATGTTTCTGCTGTTGCCAGGACATTCAATATTTAGAGAAAAACAGATGTTGTATGTCCTAATGACAGCAAGAGAAATGCTTAGAATAAAAAAAATATGTGAGGCAGCTTTGTGAAATCAGGCAGTAGTCAAAATAATGATGTAAAAGAAACCAGTTGGCTATTTTTATTGAATTTTTTTTTGGGGGGGGGGGGGGGTGGCTCACCATCTTTTGGCCAATTCAAGAACACGTCTGGTTGTGGATTTTACTTTAAAATGTTGATTAAAAGCACAAAAAATATAAGTTTTCAGTTACCTCGGGCTCTCAAGCTATGGAAATAACCAAACGTTGACGGCCATTTTCTCGCTAATTTAACCTCTCGCACCATGCGACCTCCTCCTCCTTCAATTGTGGATATCTCGACTTCTATTCAAAATAGATGGGTATCTTTTTCATCGAAGTTAAGACAAATAAGCACGCTTTTAAGATGGTACAAATAGTTCCACATACCCAAAAATTGACGAGCGCCTGCTTCCATCGTGTTGTCACACATAAGATCTATTGACCCGGCCTCACACTAAGAAATATGCTAATAGATGACTCCAATCTTCGACTTTGTTCCAGGATGGTAAAGTAGGTCACCGGGAGTACCGGTTCCTCCCAACGGCCGATAAAGCCCTTGCTGTGTTTGCCATGGTGTGTGAAGACGCAGAGAAGCGGCAGGGATCCAAAAGTTGTCTGCCCCCACGAGGAGTCGGTTCCCAGCAGCTGCAGAAGGTGAATGGGTTATTGGAGGGTGGCGCCCGTTAGTCTCAATCTCCTTATCTTTCTTTATGTGTGTGCATGGTGGGTGTGCGCAGGCATGTGCGTATACATGTGTGTGTTCTTGTGTATGTGTGTGTATGGTGGGTGTGTGCAGGCATGTGCATATGCATGTGCATGTACATGTGTGTATGTGTGTGTGTGTGTATGTGTGTGTGTGTGTGTGCATATGCATGTGTGTGTACATGTGTGTGTGTGTGTGTGGGTGGGTGTGTTAGTGTACGTGTGTGCATACGTGGTGAAACAAAAAACCAGTGCACCAGTATCTGGACTATAAAGATTTAGCATATCTTATGTGTGTATAATCGGCCGGTGCTCTGGTATGGTTTGCTCCTTCTTTTCATCTGTCATCCTTATCTCTCCTTCTAATTTTTATGTTTTTTATTCACCTTGAGGGCAGTATTGCATACATACGTAAGTCATTTTTTGGCGGCCTTTGAGATACTTCTAAACTTTGACACTTATATGAACTGATTGCGTTGTAAGTGGTTTATAAAACTCTTACTAAACCAAACAAGCAAAAACCCCCAAATAATCAATTGTTCCTCTTGCCGACCTTTTTTCCCCAGTATATTGCCGAGAAGCTGAAGGTCGACGAGGGCTGCAGTGACGAGGTCAAGGACGTTGTGGAACACGTGTGGCGAGAAGCGATGTCAGAGGTCAACAGTGTCCTCGGCAACATCTCTGGCATCAAAGTCGAACAGGTGGGGGACTATTCTGGTTTTTCAACTCTCACCCCTTTCTGTACGTCGTGTTTTCTGTCGTATCCATACGGTATGGGGAACTCTTCGCCACGACTTTCCAAAGAGGAAATTTACTCGTTAATCCGATCCGTACGCTTTGCATAGCAGTCTGTCAAAATGATTTTTCGAGAAATACTGAAAGTTTCAAAGAGTTCTTCATACTAGAAGTATTCTAAAATGTGAAGAAATCAATCCCACTGGTACAAAATAAACCCCATGGCGTACGAATAGGGTTAATCCAGATAGACACCATGTTGATTTTTTCTCCAGAAAGCACTGCTTTTCTGTGAAGAAAAGGCTCAAGAAAAAGATCTAATCTCATATTAAATAAAGTTATGACAAATGTAATGTATGTTCCACTGCAACTGAGACTAAGAAGGGTTGCTTATATTGTTGAATTTTAAACTTGATATTATTGTCTACAAAAGACGTTTAGAGCCTTGAGTAGCTTTGAAACGTAAAATCAGATCTGTAAATGGACTGAATAATTTCATGCATTGTTTCCTGAGGAGGGGGGGAGTTTGTCCTGTAACACGAGTACAAATGATCCCAACCTAGGGGAATTTTTTTTTCTCTTGGGGGATCTGTTGAAACGTTTAAAAATGCCGACAGGGGTGGGTAGAGTTCTGTGTAAGTGGAGGCAGATACATTACAGAGAAATAAATCTTCTTCTTCTTCTTCTTCTTCTTCTTCTTCTTCTTCTTCTTCTTCTTCTTC